GGTCTGGTTTTAACCAGGCTAGGTCTGGTTTAGATAAGTGTTACTTATAAATTATATATTTTTCTGGTATAAATCTGCTGTTTTACATGATTGTTAAATGAAATTAACATAATTATTAATTTATTGTAAAAACATGACAGATAATCTGTGAAACAGATCCAGTTCAGCTGCTGTTTATCTATTAGTTTCTATGTTTGCTGTGAGCTGTTGTCCTCTGTTTGGTCTGTTTCTGCTCCTCCATGATGTCACAGACACAACCAGACGACGGGATGGGCGGGGCTTAGTCTAGCAATCTTTATATTTAAGTCTATGTTTTTACAATATAAAACTTTGTGTTTTGTATATTTTGTCCTCAGTAAACTAAACTCTGGAGTTACACTTCAGACATGGCTAATTATTAGAAAATCTAAAATGAGGACTTTTAAAAAAGTTTTGTTTTCTCACGGTTTGAGAACAGAGACCTCCGCCTCCAGTTGTCCTCGAGCAGCTGCTTCTTTCGAGTGACGGAGACACCAGTCGCTGGAGGTGGACAGAGCTGCGGACAGCTGCGACTCCTTTAAAACAAAATTTAAATAATAAAAAAAACATTTTTTAAATACAGAGTTGAAAAACAAGAGTTGAAAGTTTCCATTAATAAAACCTTTAAATCTGTCATTTAATCTGTTTAAATCTGTGTTTCACAAACAAAAACACAAAAAAATATATATGATTTTTGAACCCTCCTGCTACTGTTGGGTCAAAATAAATTGTTTCTTTTCCTCTTGGAAAAAGAAAGGACACATCCTGAAAAGCTTTTCTGTCCTCGTTTTCAGCAGCTGACATCTCAAAATCCTCTCAGGTTCTTCAAAAATAAAAATCAATTCTCTGCTTATTCAAGAGCATCCCATCACGTCGGGGTCACCAAACTTCTAACATAACATGTTCAATAAATCAGAATAAGTTTGCAGAAAACTAGATGATTCTTTTTTAAAAAGCTTTATTCAAAGACTGACTTCAATCAGGCCCTTTCAGACTTTAGAACGTAACCAACTTTGTTAATGCAGATAAAATAAAACATTGATAAGACACACTAGCTGTTTACATGCACAAAATGTTTTGATCGGATTGAAATGATTTGGATTAAATAATCCGAATGTACTATTTACATGGACACAATCTGATCATGAAAAGTGTTTACATGCACCGGAGTTTTATTCAGAATAAAAATCTGGACATGCGCAGTGTTGTAAACTTTCAGCTCTACTTCCATGTTACAAACGTAAACAAAGCTCCTCTGTGCGCTCAGGACGGACCCGTGTCAGCTTTTAATAACGTAGAGACGTCGTTACTCCCCGGTTGAGCTGCAGATGAAGCAATACGTGTTTTTTATTTTTATTTTTTGCGAAGCTGTTTGTCACCTTTTTTATCTGTTGAGAGAGTGCGGAGGAAAAGTTCTGCGCAGCGCAGCTGGAAACTACAGCGCTGAAAAAATAAATGTCAGTTTCTGACACTTGGCTGAATTTGCTTGTAGATGCTTTTCTCAATTTTTCTCCTCCTCCTGTCCGGTTCTTCTTATTCTTCCTCTTCTTCATCAAACTTTTCTTCTTCTTCGGTCTTTGTGCTTGGTAAACAATGAATTGGCGCATTATCGCCATCTACTGGTATTGAGCGCAACTACACCTTTTTTTCCCCCTCTGTACGTGGGCCGGCCCAGTGATGCGCCGGCCCACCAGGAAAAGTCCCGGTACTCCCAATGGCCAGTCCGCTCCTGGCTGCTGCCCCGCCTCCTCTAAAGAGCATAACCGGGTGAATGAAAGTCAGAAGACCTGTGCACTCAGGTCAGTTTACCATAATCAGAATAAGATGATCCGATAAAGTGTTTACATGCACGTCATTACGATTATCAATCAGCATAACCCACCCCTCTCATTCAGATTAAAAATTTATTCGGATCGAGCTCAATCGGATCAGAATAATCCAAACGGGCTGTTTACATGATGCATTTTTCTTTTGAACGGCCGTTTAATCTGATTACTTATGTCCACGTAAACGTAGTTACTGTCTCATTCTGTTTAAACCACATGACTGCAACGATCACAGACAAGTGGAATACAAGACTGGATCTCAAACTCAGTTAATCAGTCACAAAATGTCCTGCACCTCCTTTTAAACACTGATGTCCTGCACCTCCTTTTAAACACTGAGGCCTCGTGGGACATTTTGACCCAAGGGCAGTAGCAGGGATTGGCCGTGTGATGCATCAAGCTGGCTTTAATTTGAATATAATTTGCATGAAACAGTCTAAAATAGACAAGACACTACTGCACATGTAAATATACCAGAGGTTTGTAGATCACCATAAGAAACCAGCAGTCTGTTCTAAAAACTCTTTATGTTTTGGACACCTTCAACATCTTTGAAACTGTACAAACTAATAATAAAACATTTTTAAAAAACCCATCAAACTATGCAAAAATATACTTTTGCTTTGAAGAAGGCATTGTGTTGACAGACGTGGAGCGACCCTGAGCTCTGACCTTCTCCTGCAGTTTCTCTGACAGCTGCCTGCAGCACTCCTCGGCCCGCTCGGCTCGCTGCCGGACCAGAACCATCCTCTGCCGCTCCTCTTCCTGCTCCCCGTCCTCCTTCTGCTGCCTCAGAGTGCGCAGCTCCTCCTGCAGAGCCCGGAGCTCTTCCTGCTTCTGCTCGTGGCTCTGCTGCATCCTCTGCGGCGGACGTGAAGAGGGGAGAGAGGCGGAACGTGAACAAACCGGCCTCGGGTATTTATTTGACGAATGGAGGTAACGGTTCCGAAACCTGAATCTGAGCAGCCAGACGGGCCTTCTCAGCCTCCACTCGGCTCAGCTGCAACTCCAGATGGCTCCGAGTCGACTCCAGGATTCTGGAAAGCTCTTCTGTCGTCTTCACCGTGTCCTGCCGCCACACAGAAACAGACGTCGGCTTCTAGCTGACAAAACGACCAGAAACCAACATTTCTGGAAACAAAGAACTTGAGATACAAACTTTTTCCAAATCCAAGTGTTCAGCAAGCTTGGAGACTTCTTTCTCTTTGCTGCTGAGTTTGTCAAAAAGTCTCTGCAGCAGAAGAAGAAAAGTAAACTTGGAGCTAAAATGAGCAAAACAGCAGCTAAAACCTTAGAATTAACAAAATGATCAATAAAAACTAAAGGTTTTTGCTCAGTCTCAGTGACAGTAGTTCTACTCCTAGCAAAATTACTATATCATTACTTATATTAGTATTTCTAGTATTTTTATTATACTACTAGTACTAGTATACTTTAAATTACCAGTAATACTATTACTACGGTACTAATAATACTAACATTATCAACAATTTATCATTACTAATCAGCCCAGCGGTACAACATTAGTACTGATGCAACTAGTAATATTAGTACTTTTACTATATTAGTACTACTAGTTGTTGTAGTAGTAGTAATATGCTAGTACTATATATACTATACTAGTACACTATATATACTAATATTACTTATGATAATAATATGAGCAGTTGTTTTACAATTCAATGTACTATTTACAATCAAAGTATTATAAAGCACTAGTATACTATCACTAATAGTTATACTAGTAATAATTTAGTATTAGTACTAGTAATATTAGAACCAATTTTAGTGCTAGTGCCACCAGTACTATTACTAGTGTTTTTAATAGTAATACTAGCACAGTTACTTTATTTTTATTACCAGTACTTCTAATACTATAACTATACTAGTATTAGTTGTTGTAGTATTATTATACCTGAAATTACAAGTTTTACTATTACTATGGTACTATTAGTACTAATACTATTATCAACAATTTATTATTAATATTATTAATCAGCACAGTGGTACTAAATTAGTACTCATTCAACTAATAATATTAGTACTTTTATTTTATTAGTATTACTAGTTGTTGTAGTAGTAGTAATATGCTAGAACTATTAGTATACTAGTACACTATGTATTACTTACAATAATAATATTAGTATTTGTTTTACAATTAAAAGTACTATTATTTATACTATTACTAATAGTTATACTAGTTATAATATTGTATTAGTACTAGTAATATTAGTACTAATTTTAGTGGTAGTACCACCAGTACTATTAAATGGTAAATGGTAAATGGTACTGAACTTATAGAGCGCTTTTCAAGTCGCTCCGGACCCCAAAGCACTTTACACTAACAGACATTCACCCATTCACACTCACATTCACACACTGATGATGGCAAACTACACTGTAGCCACAGCTGCCCTGGGGCACACTGACAGAGGTGGGGCTGCCATGCATCGGCGCCACCGGACCCTCTGACCACCATCAGTAGGCAAGGTGGGTGAAGTGTCTTGCCCAAGGACACAACGACTGAGACGGCTGGACGGGGGATCGAACCAGTGACCTTCTGGTTCCAGGACGACTCCCCTAACCACTCCGCCACAGCCGCCCTAGTAGTGTTATTAATAGTAATACTAGCACAGTTACTTTTTTATTATTACTAGTACTTCTAGTACTGTTAATATACTAATATTAGCTGTTGTAGTGTTATTTTACCTAAAATTGCAAGTTCTACTATTACTTTAAAGGTACTATTATTAAAAAATATTGTATCAGTACTATACTAGTACTAGTACCAGTAGTATAGTGTCAGTGTATTGCCATATATTAGTGAAGAAAGTTAAACAGTTTCCAGATCGCTCTGTTCTTTTCTCACAGTGTTTTCTGCTTCACTGTCAGCCAGCCTCTGCTTCAGAGCATCTCTCTCTGCCGACCACACCAACCATTCTCTCTGTGGACACACAAAAACACACAGTCAGAAACCACACCAACCATTCTCTCTGTGGACACACAAAAACACACAGTCAGAAACCAAGGAGGTCAGCACCACCACGACTCCTCCTCAGTGTCCCGTACCTCGTGCTCGCTCCACTCCCTGAGGAGGTCCCGCAGGCTGTGATTGGTGTTATCGAACATCTCTATCTTCTCCAGCAGCAGCTGCTGCTGCCGTCCCAACGAGGCCGAGTGCAGCTTCGACAGACGTTTCTCCTGAGAGATGAAACAAACCGAGTGATTGTGGATTCTTGACGGACACGGGAAGAAGACCATTCGTATCACCTTGGCGAGGATGTCGACGGTTCCCTTCAGAGCCGTCAGCTGATTGGCTACGGCGACACCATCGATTTCTGCTTCCACAAGCGCCCTGAGGAGCTCGTCTGTGTCTCTGTGCTGACCTGAGTCTGACCTGAGAAGAACAGAAACATTTTATTTTACTGACTTTACTTCACTGACATCTTCTGTGTCTTGGTTTCCAGGCATGTGGAGGGACGTAGTTTCTCCCGATCTAGAGCCTGCAGAGAAAACTCACTTTGACCACGATCAATTCCTTCCCTTGTAAAAAAGATCTGAAATCTCCCAAACATAAAAACAAACAAACACCCAGCCTAACTGCAGACAGAACGCTCTCATATGGCTGTTAAAGAGATCCTTACCTTTTTGAACAACGAAGGTTTTCTTGCTCCCTGAGCAGAGCACTGAGGTTTTTAGATACTCCGTCCAGCTCTTCTTCCTGCTCCTCTGCATCCCGCTGATGTCTGGTCCCACCGTCTGATCGATGCTGCATTAGGCCGGTCTGATCAAACGACACGAAGGGGGAACGGTTTAAGGAACATGCTGGATTGAGAAAAAAAAAATCAGTTTCTGTGTCGTAAACTACGACGAAGTATTATCCCGGATTTATACTACATACGTCTCCACTCCGCTGCGCTGCGGTGTGCAGGTCGCAGCCGTTCGTTAGGGCCACAAGATTAAAGTCATTATATTACAAGAAAAAAAGTTATAATGAAAAAAGTCATAATCTTACATGACGTGTCCATTTTCCGTTCCTCATTTCCTCCTTATTTTCCTCACACCTGCTCTACAGCCATGTGTCTGTGTGTTTATGAAGCAGTCCATGATGACTCGAGTCACTGTTAGATATGCTTTCATCCAAATTAGCTACGTGACGACTAAATCTGTCAATACAGCTTCAGATTATCATATAGTCGTTTGCACAATTTCCAAGTCCTGCTACTGATAATTTGAAGCTAATGTGCTAAAAGATTAACCATTTATTTTTAGCAATACTAAAGAACAACTTGACAACATTCCTCATTTTAATGCAGTGATAACTGCATGCTTTTTCATGTGAAGGGTATTGTATTACAACTTTAATTTTAGAATATTATGAATTTATTCTCACAATATTATGACTTTAATCTCGTAATGTTACAACTTTATTCGCATGACTTTAATCTCGTAAATTACGACTTTATTCTCATATTATGACTTTAATCTCGTAATGTTACAACTTTATTCGCATGACTTTAATCTCGTAAATTACGACTTTATTCTCATATTATGACTTTAATCTCGTAATGTTACAACTTTATTCGCATGACTTTAATCTCGTAAATTACGACTTTATTCTCATATTATGACTTTAATCTCGTAATGTTACAACTTTATTCGCATGACTTTAATCTCGTAAATTACGACTTTATTCTCATATTATGACTTTAATCTCGTAATGTTACAACTTTATTCGCATGACTTTAATCTCGTAAATTACGACTTTATTCTCATATTATGACTTTAATCTCGTAATGTTACAACTTTATTCGCATGACTTTAATCTCGTAAATTACGACTTTATTCTCATATTATGACTTTAATCTCGTAATGTTACAACTTTATTCGCATGACTTTAATCTCGTAAATTACGACTTTATTCTCATATTATGACTTTAATCTCGTAATGTTACAACT